CGGTCGCCGAGCTCAAGAAGAACGGCGGCAGCCAGCCCAAGGTGGCCGCGCTCATCTTCTTTGGCCTCTTCATGGTGCTCCTCACGTCCATCACGGGCAGCTTGATGTCCATGTTCAAGTCCACGAGCTGCTTCCGCATTGCCGGTGGCCGCGTGCCGTGCGCGGAAGGCACGCCGCAGACGTACCTCGCCATCATCTTTGTGCCCGGTGCCATCGTCGCGGCGGCCACCTTGTACAAGCTCTACAAGAAGTAGAGTCGTGTCCATCTCTCTCGTACTCCCATTGTGTTTCGTTTGTTAATAACGAGTTGTGTCGTGTTTTTCTCCTACTCGATTGTGTCGATGGTTGGTTGTCGCAAAGTTTAGCGCAATCGGTGGAGCTACAGTACGACGGGTGCCTTGTCCAACAATAGTGCATCTCGGGGACGTTCTGTCTATAAAGACCACGCTGGAGGCCTCTTATTTTCTTCCTTGCCCAATGTGTATCGCTGCAATTTGCGTGGTGAAGCACACCTGCCGTGAGTGACTGGAGCCGCGACGCCTCTGCCCGAGCCGCGTAGACACGGATTTCCGTCGTCGTACGTCTTCTAAAGGATCAATCAATCAAACGCGTTCGCGTTCAAATCAAGTTGGCAGAAATTAGCTTAAAGACTTCGCATACGTAGTGCTACGCCTGAATGCGTCGAGTTGGCACCAGCATTTGGTCGTCTTCTCAAGGATCAGCAAACAATATAGGGGATTTGAAATTGACATGTGAATCCAGGTCTTGTGTTTTTTGAGCGCTTCCGTTGTTCTTGTTGCAATGACTTTTGAAATTCACTATCAACACGCAACTGCATTGAGATAGCGGCCTTGTGATGGGCTCGTAAGGTAGGTCGGTGCGTTAAGCAAGTACAGTACTGTAGAGTGAGTGATCTAGTTGCGGGATCGGCGAGGAACAAGGTAACACTAAGGGTCAGCACGGAGAGCATCAAGCTACGCGGTAAGCGATGGTACCGCGGCGCGACGAGCCAAGTGCCGGACGTGCAAGCGTGTTCTAGTAGTTGTCTTGGTCGCGAGCAAACGTCTCTTACAACAGATAAAACTATGCTAAATAAAATTGTCGGACTTTCTTCGTTGTGTGTACTCGGTTGAGGGACTTGATTTAGGCAGGCGGAGGCAGGAGCGCGATCCGCGGGACGAGGTGATTGGGAGGCTCGGTCGTTGTGTTCGAGCTAGAGATAGTGCCAAACGCAAGCACGCAGAATCACGTAGAGGGTAGCAAATTGCTACCCTTGCTACTAGCAATGGACGACTTAGGAGCCGAGTACGGCGCAGCCACGGCGTCCAAGAGGAAGCCAGCGAGTGTCGACGGGAGCCACATTTGTAACCGGCTGCCAGCCGGTCGGTTGGGAGCGGGAAGTCCAACGCCCTTGCAAGCTGCAGCCATGACTGTGCGCACATGTGGGCCTTGAACATGTTGTCGCCGAGGCTGTATCGTCCTTCGAAGACGCGCTTGTACAGCACGGGGTCCACGAGCTTGTGCGACTGCCACCACGTGAGAATATCTTCGTCCTTGTCGACCTGGGGCAGCGCAGCGTAGCGATCGATCTCGTTGTTGTCGAACCTCACGTCGTTGGTGCCGAGACGCAGAAGAGGTTGAGCTCGTCGCCCTTGTCGCTGGGCAAAGCGTCGGCGTCTCGCACGTTGACGCCGACATACCGTGGCACGACCATGACCTTTTCCATGATGAGACGATCGGCCTGGAACTCGGGCTTCGTTGTAACAGAGTGACCCCTTGGATCGAGGAACTTTGCAATTGTAGCAGCCTCGCAGTTGAGATCCGACATTGCGAGAATGATTACTAGTACCAAAAGGTGCGTTTAATATTGTAGTATGTATGCTAAGGTGGTTGCCAATCATATCGGTATCTACAGTGGCGCGACGTTTGTGGTTGATGAGTGCTGCGTGGGCAGCAGCAAGGGCAGCTAGGTATAGAGCCTCGCGCCCCTCGATGCTGGTCTAATCTTTCCATACCCAGGCACAAGCATCTGGAGTTGACTCGCGCTCGGGATGCTGCGATCCCGGTGCGTACACACTGTACTTGACGACCATGGCTGGACGGCTCGACGTCATGCCGTTGCGGAAAACGTGAGAGATCCGTCGGAGTCCGCCGCACTCGACGCACTTCTTCTCGTCTCTGACATTGCGCGGGCGGGGTAGAGTTGGTCTGGGTGGGTTCATGGGGAGACATCTTCGAGGCGTCACTACTTGACCGTGATTGCTAGCCTACCGACAAGCTCTCTTGGTGGATGCGCGGCGCTGCACTGACGCTGTAGAAGTTGTCGGCAGGGCCGCTCGAGCCACGGTTGCAAATGCTGCAGTCGGTGCTGCAGGTGCCGCGGCAGCCACGGGGCAGTCTGGGTGCTTGAACGAGCGGACTTTGGCCAGCGTCATGTTGTCCAAACCAACGACGACGTTCCACGAGTCGTTCCAGCCGTGGAGATGACACCCTTGCTCCCCACACGCAACGCACTTCAAGCCAAAGTCGCCCATAACGTCGCCGTAAAACAAGAACGGGCACATGACGAAGACTTGCATGTTGGAGAAAAAGAAGTCGGGTCACCCGCCTAGAGCAGCGCGTTTGGGAGCATGAAGGAGTCATTGGGCCCCTTGTTCTTGTCCAAGGTCGCCGACTGCGCCACACGGGCGCCGTACGTCCTCGGAAGTGTCGCCGAGACGCTCCGCCACATGGCGTCCAGGTGCGCCTTGAGGTCCGGACGGCTAAGCGCGATGGACTCGTCGCCCGCGATGGCTTCATCACCCTCGTCATCGTCGCCTTCTTGAGCCGCAGCATCACAGTCGCACACATCTTGCCCGGCGGCCGCTTCATGATCGGCGGCGGCGGGCGCGGCTGGGTTGGGTCCATCGCAGACTGAGCGCGGCGCTTTGGGTCGTTGGTGTAGCCCGTAATGGGTTTGTTGGTGGTATGGCACTTGACACAGGCTGGTTTGCCGTCGCTGCTCACGTAGCGGTCCTTCGGATCGGGGCGGATGCGGCCATGTCGTCGGATCCGAAATGCGCAACCCGTTCACACACTCCGAAACATGATCCGAATCTATGCATTCTTGGAGGTAGCCTAGTCAGGGCCACCAATCAGGAGCCGCCTCATCCTCCACAGCCACCAATCAGATCGCTGGCTCTGGCTGTGAATGCCAGCCTTTTGCCAAAGAGCACCACAAGACGCGCGACTAGTACACGCGCATCTTCCTGCGTCAAGCAAGCTCAAGTGGCTCGCGAAAGATCACGCCTCGCACATCGAGACGCTCGTCGCCCAAGGTTACACGCACCAGGGGTTCCGAAACATATATTTAGTGAGCGCATTTTTTTACATTTTTTGCACTCAATATTGATTGTTTCTTATTCCGTGTGAACAAGAAACATTGTTTAAGGTCCCAAACATTACACGAAGCATGGGACAGGCAGTGCCTGCGCCATTATTGATTGATCCATGTCGCCACCCGTGTTGAAGCAAGTGTCGTTACGTGCTACCCTAGAATCGCAAGGCGACGACGCCGGAGAACCTCGAGCGCAAGCTATTTCTCAACCTCAACAAGGACCTATTGGGCGTTACGAAAATCAAGGACAACTTGGACGAGAAAAATGCGAATAATGAAGCAACGAGTGCGTCATAAAGTGATTGTTTCGATGTCTCGCCATTCATTTAATAAATGTTTTGTGCTCGAGCGTTGCCATGTAGCATTGTAATGCAGCGCGCCAACCTCAAAAATGATTTACTCAGGTACAAAATATACATTTCAATTATGACACTCATTTTCGGAGCCCCTGTTCCGACAGCGACCGCGCTTTGACTGGCGTGTGCTTTCAGTGCAACACCTCGGCGTCCCAGCGACCTTCTACGAGCACCCGGGCCGAGCGGCCTCATTTGTATCTCTACGGCAGCCAGTTCACGTCCTTCCACGATATGGCGACTTCGTGTACCGGGTCGCGCTGAAAGTCGTCGCCGTCCGAGCCAGCTTACACTTTCTCGGCCGCGATGCCCGACACTGCCTTCTCTGGGATGCGCAAGCCCGTGAAACGTACGATCATCTTCTTGTGCGCTGCCCATACGTCCGAGCGATCTGGTGCGCCTTTGCACCGATGAGAGACATTCTGCAGATGCAACTCCCGTCGTCGGTCGCTGGCTTTCTCTACGACGATGTCGCCGCGCCGTACTCGGTCCACAAGTCGCCCGTTCGTGCCCTCTGGCCGATCTTACGTGCTTGCGTCTGGTATTGTATTTGGCTCGAACGCAACAACCGTGTCTTCCGCTCGACGCTGACGCAACTTCCCGCTGCCGCGCTCGCGATCCGAGCAGCTGCTACCGCACGATTGCACATCCGGCACTTGGCTCGTCGCGCTGTGGTGCCATCTCTTGACGCGTCGCTGGTCGCTCTCCGCGACGATCCTTGGTGTGCACGCTACCTGGTCCCTCGCACAATCTCGAATCACGACCACTAACGCTCCTCGCTGAAGTACCGGCCAAGCCTCACGAGCGCATTAGGAAGTCCACCATATCTCTATAATAGTTAATTGCATGTAATATAACTCAATTCAACAACAACAAGACACGCGACTTCGGTACGTTGAGGTCGAGGTTGTGTCGCATCGTTGCGAGCATGTTGAATGTGAAAGGGCGTGGTTGATTGCGCGTGACCTGTTAAGGACTTGGAAATGAACTTTTGCTCGCACCGGTTGGTCTTTTGAGGTTTTTAGGTCGTCCCAGGTCCTTTCGACGGACCTCGAAAGACCAATGTTTTATAGATTGACCTTTTTTTGATTGGCTGAAATTGAGGTGCCCTCGTCGGCCGTTGGCCAGTTTGCGTTCGAGGATGTGTGGCTACCCAAAATGGTGGCTACCCCAGGGGGGTGACAACCCGCCCAAGTGAAAAAAGTGCTTTTTGGGCCCAGAGGAGGTGTACCACTGTACCCATGATTACGAATCAAGGTCGAACTCATTTAACGCAATCGAGTGTTTGACTTTTTAAAACAGCAAGTGTATGAAGAAGGTCGTCGAAGCGTCGATTACGTTTTTGTATTTGACCGAATACGCGGAAACGCTCCATACCTGGACCAGCAACAGCCGAGGCAAAGGTCGCGGATCCGTCGCCATCAACAGACCGCGGCTCACCGCGTGTATGCGCCCGGCGCTCAAGCCCACAAGGTACAGAGTTTCATCATCGAGTCTATACATTAGCTCCAAGGCTTTACACCGACTTGACAGGCGCGAGCGACTCGGTGTGGTGCGACCGAACCGTCCGGGCCTCGCGCGTGAGGGGGTCGGCTTCGAGCAGCCGCTTATTCTTGGACTCGGACGTCGGTCTTTTGCGCTTCGCTCGTCCTTCAATGAGTGTGTGACGGCGCACTGAAGCTCGAGGTCTTGCTGTGTCTTGTCGAGTTCCTGCTCGAGCCATTGCATCGAGGCTTGGCGCTGGGATGCTTGTTGATGCTGCGCACTGAGCTGCAGTAGTTGCATGTGCACGGCGGAACGTAGCTGCTGGTTTTCGGTGACGAGGGAAGCCGTGTCGACAAGTGGAGGCTTCGGAGTTGTAAGTTGTCTGCGGCACTCGGCGCACACGCGTCGCCCGCTTTGGCTATGCGTCGACACGGTGTGCTTGGTCTCTCCACAATCGCCACAGACTTCTCTTGTTTTAGCCTTCTTCCCCATGGCGCAAGCTTGAGGTCAAGCGCGGAAAGTCGATTGCAATGGCAATTTCAAACTCATTTTATCCGGATACGGTTTCTTATTGGTTGTAATGATTTCGATTCAGCCTATCACAACACCGTATCATCCTTTCTGAGCACAGCTCATGCAGTTTAGCGGCGATTTGCGCGCGAATTCAACATTTGGATAGCTTGCGAAAAAACCGAGGTACGGGAACATTCGGTTTTTCGATTGGCCTCTGAATGCCCAAGCACGCTCGATTTCTGCGTTCTGGTTCGTTCGGATTGGTTGATTTTGGGTGCAACATGATTTGATTCGTCGAACAGTAGCCACGTGGTTTAGGAATGTATGTCACGAGGTTAAAGCTTGCTGATTGGCTGGATGCCTCCCAAAAAGCAATACAAAAGCCATTTTTTTGAGGGGTTGTCACCCCCCTGTGGCTACCCCAAGGAAGAAAAACGTGTCATTGGCCAATACCATTCTTTTTTGTCCAATCAAAAATGAGTATGTGCAGAAGTGCTTGCAGACCGTACTTGTTTTCTCTGAAAAGACTGTACCGTATACTGTATATCAAAAACGGCAGAAATTAAATCGTATGAATGTATGTCGTTTGTAAAATGCTGTCAGCACCTATGTAAATGACACAGAAACGTTTCGTGCCAACGCGGAGACCTTCCACGGGTGCCACCGATGTCCTCGACGAAGCAGCAATGCGAAGCAACTCTTACAACGCACGGCAAATCGAGACGTTGCGAGAACGCAGGAATCACAGTGAGGATGTACCTTCCTCGCAGCATCTTCGCGTGCCTCAACTGCACAACCCGCATGAAGAAGGAGGCTGCAAGTCAAGCTGCGCGTGCTGTCACCACGCCACCAGTAGACGACGGTCCGGGCTCACGAGCTGGTGCGGCGATCCTACCCGGGGCCAACCTTGGAGGTGTACGCGCCACTCGTAGCTCCCGTGGGATCGCAGCGGGTGTTGGTGACGGTGGTGTCGCTGCACGTGAAGAGCCCGAGGTCGCTGCACGTGAAGAGATGCGCGAGCTACGAGAGTCCCTCGATCAGGCCATGCGGGAGCGAGACCGGTGCAGACTCGAGCGAGACGACGACCGAGCCAAGGCCACATTATGTCTATTCGCTGCTGTCAACGACGCGACTGCTGCGCACCTTGCAATGGCGTGTGTGTTAGCGGATGCATCCCGAAAGGAGGCCGAGTCCGCACGCGCACTCCAGGTCAAAGAAGACGTCATTCTTGACCTACGCCGCAAGCTTGTCAACGAACATGACGCTCGTGCCTCGCTTGAGGCCCATCTGGCCCAAGCCCACAGACGCTACGAAGAGCTAAACAAACGCTTCGAAGATCTTGGCAAAGCCCGCTTATGCGCTGCCCTTCCGGCTGCTTCTCTTCCGACCGAGGAGGCGCCAGTGTCAAAGGAAGGCACGCTTCCGACATGCCTCCTCGAGGCTAGATCAGCGAAGCGAGGAAGAGCCACGGCAGAGTCCAAGTCGGAGAATCTCGTCCGCGATGACCCGCAGGCGCGCGCCAGCCTTCCTGTACGACAGTATTTCAAGGATATGACGAGCACCAAGCGACCCAAGAGCGTGACCGAAGACCAAACATCGTAATATGTACATTGATTGATTGATAACGCGCGGTTTGCCATTGTGTCTGCAGCGTCAACTGCACGAGGGTGTTCCATATAGTTGGCGAAAATCGGGAAAGATGCGGCCATACAGATGCAAAATGGCACGTGGTCCGGGATCTGAATTCACATCTGAACCATTCGGTGAAAGCGCCGTGCAACACAGAAAACAAAGCTACAGATCCGCAGCTCCTTAATGCGAGTGCGTTGAATGACTCATGGCAAATGCCTCTAAAACCTTATATTTAGTGATAGAGATACAGAGACATTGTACTGGTACGCAAATCAAATTTCACCGGCTTCTCGTGGTTTCCACACTTTGTAATTTGCTTCAAACGTCAAGACAAATGACATGTCTCGCATGTGTGCAAAAATCAACACTCGTTGAAACACGACACATTCGATTACAGAGTTGTTACAGGGGTCCCCGCTTACTTGGCGAGAAAGAGCTTGTACGCGGCACCGAGCGCGGCAATGGCACCGGGCACAAAGATGATCGCGAGGTACGTCTGCGGCGTGCCTTCCGGGCAATCGTCGTCACCGCCTGCGAGGATAAAGCAGTTGGTGGTTTCGAACATGGACATCATGCTGCCCGTGATGGACGTGACGAGCACCATGAAGAGACCGACAAAGATGAGCGCGGCCACCTTGGGGTAGCTGCCGCCGTTCTTCTTGAGCTCGGCGACGGCCGCGCGCTGCGGCGGGAGGAGGAACACCCAGAGGCAGCCGACGGCGACAAACGTGTAATAGATGACGTACGAGTACGCGACCTGGTTGCGCGTCTCGGGCGAGTCCTCCTTGATGAGCTTCTTGCCGTAGTCGAGCTGACCGTCAATCATGTTGGTGATGATTGTGCCAAATGTACCCGGGAGGTTCGACACCGTCGTGAGGAGACCGTACATGACGCCTTCGTTGCCGACCTCGGCGAGCTCGACAATGACGTACGTGCCAACGACAAAGTTGATACCGGACGGGACCGTCTCGATGAGCGGCACACCGAGGTAGAACCACTGGTTGCGCACCACGGCGTAGATCGTGCAAAACTGGCAGACCGAGTCGATCGCGTACGTGATGATGATCGTGGTGACGAGCACGAAGCGCCAGTTCCAATGCGTGCCGTAGGTGCCCGTGAGCGTGAGGACAGCGGCAAAGAGGAGCTGGCTCACGACACCGACAATCTGCTGGTTGAGGTTTTCGACGCCTGCCCAGTACAAGGCAATGTAGTCACCGGCTGTCGACGTGATCGACTGGAAGAGACCAAAGAGGAAGTTGAAGAGGAGGACCTGCCACACGGCGCGCTTCTGGACCAGCGTCCAGAACTGGTCAAAGTAGGTGCCAAGCGGAATGCGCGTGCGCTTCTCGTCCTTGACAAAGAACCAAATCACCACGACGTTCAAGCACGACGGAATGGCAAGAATCCAAAAGTACCCGTTGATACCAATGTCCCAGTCAAAGGTACCGGCAAAGCGCGTCGAGTTGAGGCAGAGACCGCACACAAATTGAATGAGGCCGTAAAACACTGTGCGCGCCGCGTACGAGTACGACTGCAGACGACCGCGGACAGCGTCGGGCTCGCGCTGGGCGACCGCCAGCATGAGCGCGTCCTGGGCGACGTCGGCCATGACGTAGCAAAAACCGGCAAGCGCCGCGAGGAGGATAAAGACCGGGCCGTCGGTTTGCGAGCCTTCCTCACCAGGGTCCTTGATGGCGATCACGAGGAGCGAAATCGAGCAGAGCGTCCAGCCGAGGAGCATGTACGGCTTGCGCGAGTAGCCAAAGATCGGGAAGCAGTCGTTGAACATGCCAAAGACAACCTTGAGCGACCAGCCAAGACTCAAGAGCGCTCGGGCCGAGTTGCCGACGTTGGTCTCGAGCTGGAAGTAGCCCGTGACGATCGCGTACCGCATCGAGTTGACGCCACCGTACACGATACCAATCATCGCATACTGAAAGAGGATCGAGAGGCACTCGGCCGACATGTACACCGGAGCACCACCGGCGCGGAGCGCGCCGTCTTCGAGGTCACCAGGCGTCTTGTTGGCTTCATACTCTTCAGCGTTTTCGCCGGCCGCCTTGTCGATCGAGTGCACGTACGAGACACGCTCGGCTGTGATGAATTCCTTAGGGTTGTTCATGCTGAACGGCTGCCGAGGAAATTGCAAAGTGAGGAAGAAGGCGTCGGAGCCGTCTCGCGGGCCATCTGAGTCGACGACAATAGACGTGACCTCGTTGGCGCGTTGTACCAACGTGTTCTTCTACACCCTCCTGCGCGCCTCTATTCACGCTATAGACGATACCGTTCCTACAACTCAACGAATGCAATCGCGAAATCAGATTGCACGATGGCGCAGAAGACGACGACGTCCCCTTTCTTTTTCTTGTCGCGCATCCTCGCTGCTCCCTTTGGAAGCTAGATCCGACGTGGCGCGACGTGAGCCGGGTTTCGGATCTGAGTTGCGGACGTGTCGCGTATTCACCAGCCAACGGCAACGTTCTTGTTCAAGTGGGTCGTCGATTCAAATCAACAAATCGACGCTAATGTCGTACTTTCTTTGGTCTAGCCACGCCCCTTGCCTTGTCCGAGCGCAGAAGGAAGGATTGCCGACATGGATCGCGTTGCATGGAGAAACCGATGGATAATTGCTCTACTACCCATGTACTGGCGTGAGGACGCATCGCCTTCGACGCACCCAAGCCCGTCGGCGCAGGTGGCGTAAAAGACGATGCCAACATCTGTTTATGCGCGGGCTACTTCTGGGCGGCTGTCGAGTCGATAACGTGCGAGCCCAGGCATCGAGTCCCACGCTTCACCTTACGACGCCCACTTTCAACCCAGGTCCAATCCTTGAAGTCTTCTCACGCCCGTATTTCCATACTGTAGCCAAGTCGGTATTCTGAGTACGTCGTCGCCACCCATGTCGAGCGTATGACAGAAGAACGTGTCCTTCTAACGCCCATTCCTGTAACTCGATCGCATGCGCCTGCTCTTCAGGCCTTCGTGGCACGTTGGTCCTTGATCGAAAATGGATTATATTGAAAAAACCACGTGGCCACCTCCTTCTAACCTCCAAACCCACGCCACAAACGCGGCGAGCTAGAAGGGAAACCAAACACCAATGGGTGCCGTCGCAGTGGCCGTGCCCAGTGATGTGGCTCGGACATGATGCC